TATTTCTTTTACAGCAACAATAATTGTGATCTAGAGAGAGAGACCAGACTCCTCATCCTCTTCAAGGGTGGAGGTGTAAATAAAGTAGAGAGCCCAAATAAGCCCAAAAACACCAAAAAGGATCCATGCAAGAAGGTTGTTGCTTATACCTAGGCTAAGACCAGTCCCTTCAGTGCTTAACCTCTCATCAACTAGAGCAAGAGCTGGGCTCGAAATTGTAGCCACTGAAGCAACCAAGGCCGCACCCACACATGGGTTGGTGCTAGGCTTTGCCTCTAGGGAGCACCTCACTCCTCCCTTCTTTGCTAGTGTTGGCAATCCTGGATCATCAAAATAAACAAAAAAAAAGATGTACAGTCATTCATTGTTGCGAGGACCGGACGAGCGACTGAATCGGTAAGGAGTCCAGGCCACTTAAAACCAGTCCAACTATTTGTCCAACTAGTTGGATTGGATTTTTATATAAATAAATAATAATAATTTAAAAAAAATTTATAAATTTTTTACCCAACTTTATTTATTTAGTTGATCGAATGTTTGAACCAATCAAAACCGTCTGGTCCATTGGTTTTTACCATACTTCCAACTAAAACTAATTTTGTTGTGGATTAGACCAGCTAAGGCAAATCTTGATAACCATGAACTCTGAATTATTTGTTTTCCTAAATAATTGGCCTTTTCCTATCTGACTTTTTATTACAGTTTGCTTTTAAATGAGATTAAAACAAAAATTGTCCAAAAGTAGATATTTTTCTTGAAAAATGTAAGAAATTTAACATAAGATTTGAACTACTATTTTGGCAAATTTTTTAGTGGCTACCCTTTCACAAATATGCGCAACTGCCATACCTTTCGCTGAACAGAACAGAGTGGAAAATAAATTATCAGAATTATAGCAAGATCAAGGTGTAAAGACCCAAGAATAAAATCAAGAGAGGGAGTTATTGTTGCAGAAAATAAGGAAAGTAGGGCAAGAGAGAGATGAGAAACTGTGTAAAAGCTATAATTAATTGGTTTACTTAGAATTAAGAAACAGTGTAAAGAGCTATAATTAATTGGTTTACCTAGAATTATTGGCGATTGCTTAGTAGCGGAGACCCTAGAAATGAGGCTTGCAAGGGCAAGGGTTGAGGTCCCTGTTGTTGCAGTGATGGAAGCCATGGCGCTTCAGCAAGAGAGAGAGGGAATTTTAGTTTGAAGTGTTAGTGTTTTATGAATAATGAAAGAAGGGCAGACACCTTATTATTTTTGTAGGAAAAATGGAAAGTTTAACCCTCGAATTCCAAGACCATACACCAATATTTGAGTGGATAGGCCCTCATATCCTCATCCCACTTTTGCCCAACCAAACCACACCACGTGTGCATATCATCACCTCTCTTCAAATCCACCTCTACTCTTGAAAAATCCTAAAAAATATGTAAAATATATTTAAAGTAAAACTAAACAAAACACATCCAAATAAATATAAAAAGCAGTAAAAATATTAGATTTTAAAAAATCAATTTGTACTCAAAAATATTTTAAAAATAATTCAAAATATATATATATATATATATAAAATAAATATTTATAGCTAAAACATATTCCAATCTTTACCAAAATGATAAAAAAATAAAAATAAAACACATATTACCAACACTGCAAAGAATGCTCTTCATTTTGAAATAGAGCACACAAACTAGCTCATGGAGTGTGCTAAATTAGGGCAAGAAAGCCTCTATAGTGTGAAACCATCTAATTAACACCAATGCCTTTCAATATATAACTCGAGCTACTAGGATTGAGGTGTGGACAACACAATTCAGGCCCATGACCATACTCTTATGTGCATGGCGCCTGAACCCTAAATTTTTTTTGTCTCCAAAAATAATATTCTTGTTTAAATGGATAAAAAACTCTCCTAAGTAAGTGTCTTCCCCGATGGAGTAGATGTATAACATGGTATATAAACGTTCGCTTTACCAAAATATCTCTTACTCCTAGGGGAGTAAACCATCCATCTACTCCCTCAGATAAAGCTTATACTAAGAATATCTTTTGGCTCCTAAATTTTGGAGACGTGATCTCCATAATCAGGCAACCAACCTCAAAAAAATAAAATAATCAATAGATAAAATAATTCCCCATCTCTATGTGCCTAAAAAAAGGACATCCCAAGATTGGAACCATTCAAAATTAAAAAGGAATGATGTGCATGTTGAAGAACTCAAAATCCAATTTTTTCCTCTAAAACTAATCATCTAGTTAGAATTAGATGGATCACCAAAAATTCAAAAAAATAAAAATAAAATAAAAATCTCCCAAGTGTCATGCTCGAGTGAGTTAATCTATAATATGCTCCCAAGGGAGCATAGTATATGTGCTCTTAATTTATTTTTATTTTGGACAAGAGTACTTGACCTTTATTGAAAGAGGGAAAAAACGTAGTCCATTGATTAAAATACGTGCCCTTGAGCTTTTGTGATGCACCATGGTAGGTGACGGTACATGGCCACAATACTGTGTGGAGATGCATCTCAGCCGTCCATCGATCATCACAAAGGCTAAATCAAAGTTGACATAAACAATCCTACAGCTGAACTACCAAAAAAACATTAAAAAACCCTGGTTTCAGCTAACAGAAGTTGCTTGTGTTGCTTGTTATTTCATAGATTTATTGACAAGAACAAAAATTGTTTTTAGGTACTTAACCAATATGCCCCAAAACTCTTGGGTGATGGAAACTTGGAAAGTCAAGCCCCTAAACCACCTAAGATCGTTATATACCACCACGTTATGCAGTCGATGTCCTCAGCGGTTCTCACTTTATTCAGGTAGCTCTTTCCATAGGTAAGCCTTTCCACTAGTAGCCTTTTCCTATGATCGACATCCTCAACGGCTCTCACTCTATAACGGCTCTCACTCTATACCAGCAGGAAGCCCTTTCTTAAAATATGAACAGGTTGCTCTCATACCATATGTTAGGTACCTAACCAATACGCCCCCAAAACCCTTAAGTGATGAAAACGAAGAAAGTTAAAACTCTTAAACCACCTAGGATCGCTACAGTTGCTCGCGATTATAACACAGACAAACTACCCAAGCCAAAAAAAGATTGTCTTCCTACTAAAAAGTTCTACACCGAAAATGAGCTCTCATATCCGAACTCTCTCTCTCTTTTCAAAAGCTCTCGTATCCAAACTCCGTTCAAAAGCTCTCGTATCCAAATTCTCTCTCATAAGCTATCATATCCAAATTCTATCACTCCCTCTCATAAGCTCTCATATCCAAATTCTCTCTCTCTCTCTCTCTCATGTGTGAAAAATAACATGACAGGACAAAAAAAAAAAAAAGACAATGATAACACTAGTGCATAATTCCATTTATTGAAAAAAATTAAGTCATTTTCAGGTGAATTGTGGGCCCAAAAGAATTACAAGGATCAAAAGCTTGAAAAAATTATAAATGTCATAACCCTGCACAAAAGGAAATAAAACCCCAAAAGAAAGAGAGGGGGGGGCGTGAAACATCTATGGATGGATGTTGCATTGTTGCAAGTAGGGCTGTTCATACGGAACAAACTTCGTCCAGTAGCCCCTATACTTTGCCATGGCGATCTCGAGCCACGGTTTCATGTTACCATCATAATGTAAGACTGCTGCTTTTTCAATATCTCTCCGACTTACTAAAGGGTCATAGCCAAGTCCATGTACCATCAATCCACCATTTAGCCTCACTGTTGCCCCATGAAAGGTTGCTAACCCAACTGGTAGGCTACCGAGTTTCCACAGCTGCCTTCCCTTACCCTGAAAAAAAATAAAAGTATATGGCAATTTAGTTTTTTTCATCGTTGTGGAACTTAAGCTGGAATACTCAAAATTCAGTCGAGATCTCTTATTTAAATAAACATAAAGAATGATCCACATTGTCATGATTAATAATGTCCTAAGGTTCACCACCATCCAATCAATGTGTTGGATGATGAAGAACAGTGGGCAGTGTAATTGAAGTCAACTACTCGTGACATCTTTGGTGGGGCACTCCTTCCATCACTGTCCAACTTACAGATAGAAAGGAGATTAACCTTCTACATGCTGTCATCATGCTTGCAGCTATCATGACCATATGCATCTTATTATACTTCATTTGATAAAAAATAAAAAAAATAAAACAGAAAAACACTCATATTTGGAAAGGAAAATAATCCATACTGTGTAGAAAGTATGGAATGGGGAACTCAGACCAATATCTACCGTCTATGTTGTTCAAAGGACAGTGAGAGATGAATTGTTACCTACTTCCATAGCCATCATATTTTATAGGGGAAATAGACAATTGATTTTGGGTACAAGTGCATGAATAACTTTCACAGAGAGTATGTGCCTGTCCCCTCGAAAAATGAATATATGGTGTCTAAGGGTGTGGCTGCATGGACATCTGACTGATAGAGGGAGAAAGCAAGAGAGAGAGGGAGAGAGAGAGAGTTTGACGGCCTTCACAAACTCAGCTTCTAGAGAGTAGCATGCTTACCATTTCCAACCATTCATGATAGACGTTTGTCAGCTTACGTTGTCGCCATTCTCTCAGATCAAACATATTCACCCCAAACCCCCATGCACAAGCCTTAGCATCAAGTCTACTCACCACAACTGGGTCTGAGAAGTTCAAGAATGCATCAAGAGTGTGCTCGAGTCCACCACGACTGCACTCATGCACCGCTCCATTAACCATCCCTTTCATATCCATGGACCATAGCAAACTCAGGTCCCTCTGAACCACCACATCATGGTCAAGATGAACCACCTTGTCAAGAGCAGGAAAGATTTCGGGGATATAGAACCGAGCATGGTTCAGTGGATTTATGTACTTGGGATTTCGAAACTTGGGAGTCAGTGAATCACTTGGCTGATTAGAAGGAAAACCACGACTAGGGTCAAGCCAAGTGAGCTCATCCATGTTCAGGACCTCAAGAGCGGCCTGGCCGGGTGGATTTGATCGAAACCAAGTGGTCATGGCTGGGTAATTCAGCATGTCAGTGACCACATGAATGACGAGCTTTTCTGGTGCCTGCAATATCCACAACAAAGAAATCAGCCGCCCGTCCGAACTTTGTAGATGGAGGTACTAAGGATAAATTTCTCAAAAGTTAATGACTATTGATAAAAAGATTTTGTTTTCTGATGCATACTCGATACAATAACTTCTTGGTTGACAAAAATTATATGCTGCATCATCGTTATCAAAAAAGGACAAGAACCTTATGCTAAGCTCTGAATGAGAATTCATTAGTAGTGCACGAAATTCGAATAAGGCTAAGTTTCAGATTTGAAATTCAAGACAAGGAAAAAGTATTAGGCCATTTTCAGTAAAAGGGGGCACATGAGGACCAGACCCTTCAATTTTTGTAAGATTCTGGATCAAATAGGACCAGTTTTACGACAATTTGGCCTGAGTCCATCTTGACTTATGGGCAAATCTCAGTTGATATAAATCTATCCTTTAACCTGCACAGGGACACTCAAACAACAGCACTTTGCACACATGCTAAATGCACAACTAATAAGAAAAGAACCATCATCAGAAAGAAACATGAGGAAAATCTGTGCTTCAGCCTTAAGGTTCCTTACTGAAAATTAGGGTATTTTGGTCATTCCAGAAAAAATATAGGGCATCTAACAGTTCATAAAAATTCAAGTGAATTTGCATTATTTATAAGGAATTTGAATACATTAAGGAAAATTTTGGTGTAGCACTAATTAGCGATAAGATGAGACAGAGTAGACTTAGGTGGGCTGACCGTGTGTGGCGTAGACCCAGTACAACACCTGTTAGGAGGTGCAAGTTAGTTCAAGAGGTAGGCTCAAAAAAGGGTAAGGGGTAGGCCTAGTAGAATATACTTGGAAATAGTAAGAAAATATATAGGGACTTATAGCCTCACTGAGGGTATGACCCTTAATAGAGCAGAATGACGGACCAAGATTCGAGTAGCCGGCCTCAATTAGTTAGAAGCTTTGATAATGATGATAAGGAGATAGAGCATTCAAATCATCTGAAAAACAGCAACACTCCATATCAAGGAAATAGGAGGCATTTAGATTGTTAATGCTTTGAATAGAAAATCAAAGATGCGCAATAACCACAACAAAATCATAACATAGTGTAATATGTGCACGTGCGCATGCACACGCACACGCACACACACACGCACACACACACACACATGTGCGAGCATGTGCACACATACACACACAGAGGCCTCAAACTGATCTCGTAAAAGTGGGATGACACAGTGTGTGCACATACATACACACACATGCCTTTAACTGAACTCCTAAAAGTGGGGTGTGTCATATCAACATCAAAACCTTCAGCTCCTTGGCTACTTAGCAAAGTAGCACCCATCACTCAATTACCTTCAGATACAGAATGGCCAAAAAATGGTTGTTACATTCCAATACAGAAACACACTCTGGGTGACCCCTTAAAAGTGTGGCATCCAGGAAAAACTACATAAACTATTATTTACTAACTTATATGATATCAGGGTGGATAGAGTCACAAATCTAAAAGTAGGAAAGGAAATGATTTTTTATAAAAACTTGGTCCTTTTATTAAAATAAAATTTCTTCAGAAGTTCGAGAATTCATATCTCTTACACCCTACTAGTAAAATGCCATGTTACGTATAAAACAATATAACATTTCATAAAAATGATGCACCATGCACAGTATACCAAAAATTAAGTGTCATCAATTTGCAACTAACAAAAGCATATTTAGCTCACCAAAGAAGAGGAGACAGTGGAGTTGACAACCACTGAACACGCAAGGACATTGTCTGAGAAGATGACATAATGGTAAAGGTCCGGCCTCTTCAATTTTGATGTATCAGTGATTCCCCGCTTATCAGATTGAAGCTCAAAAAAGTCAGTAGTGAGACGCATAGTAAGGCAATGGAGGCCCTTAGGAAAGGTAGTGGCAGCTAGCTGAGAGAGATGCTCCGCTTGCTTCTTGTGGGCGGCCACCTGCTCCTCTGCATTATGTGTCATTGCTCGAAGCTTCGTTGCCATGGCTCCGCAGTCGTTGTAAACTCGACCAGCTTTAGTTAAGACAGCCTCCATTGATCTCATCCTCTGTGAAGCACTGTAATGGTTCTAATTTGTAATCAGGGGAGGCAAGTGGTTCTATTCCTTTGGGAAAGTATGCCATACTTCAATGGACTGTCATTATGGTATATGGTACTCCAAGGGCACATCCACCATCTGTTCCTCATGATGGATGCTTGAAGTATGGCCCACAGGACAATCGCACAGCACGGTTGATCCCAACCATTTGTCAGTGGGAACAGAAGGTTGATGTAGCTTCGATTAGGATACAACATAATCCACTGGAGTATGGTCTACTTATCCTTGTATCTCCCTAGTAACTTCAAATCTAGATTACCCTTTGCTACTTATTTCATAAAGGGTGCAGTTTGTATAGAACCTAGGCTCTAAACAATCAAATTAGAGCCTACCTGCAAATAGTGTCGAGAAATGTGGTTTTAATACTAGAAATCTTTGTGATAGCCTTAAAATATATTTTCATCTTTATTTATAAAGTTTAAAGCTTCAAAAATAGTATAGATTGACAGATCTATGAAAACTTGAAAATTTTGAAAATTGATGGTCCAAAAATACGTTACAAAATACCCTATTTCCAAAACTTGAAATCCATTTTTCTCATGTCCATACATCTTGATGTCGAGATGATCAATTTGAGGATATTTGGGCATCGAAACAACCTCTTTTAGTGAAATTTTTGAGGTAGGCTCCAATTTGATGGTTTAGAGTCTCGGCTGTATATAAACTTTTCCCTTCATAAATGGGTCTCCTACTTCTCAATAAAGAATGAATGTTTCAAGAGTTTCATATCTGTATTTTTGCTATTTCTACCTTCTGTGAAGATCTGAATCTTTGATGGCATCGCCCAAAGAACGTTCAGACTCTCGGATCCGCAATCTCAGCTCTTTTGCTAGGTGGGAGTTACTTCGAGGGGCGGCAAAATTCAAGTATGCCTTGGCCCTGATAACCTGGTCTCTCATCTGAAGCACCTTCTCCTCAGTTGGTTTATGGGTTCGAGACCTTACGCTCTTCTCACCCAACTGATGTTTTGATTGCACCTGATTCAAAGACAAAAAGAAGTTCAACAAAGAGAGATACAGAGCCTTCAGCGCAGACAAGCATAATGAGAAGCAAATCAGGAAGGTAAAAAAGTCTGGGTTCATGATTGGTGAAGTATTCCAGGATATTATAGTTTTTTTTTTTTTTTTGGGGTAATTCAGTGGGGAAGACAGGCGCCTGACTGTTTTTTTCAATAGATTAGGGAGTTACATTTTGAAGGTGTTAATTGGGGGTGTCAGAGGTAGGAATGGATACCACGATGTGGTAACTGGGTGTGGGGATGCTACCACCACGACCCCAGCCCCTTTTCTATAGTATACTGTCCTTTTGGTCAAGTATACGATACATTCCACGTATGAATTAGAACATAAATATCCACTACAAACAATGGCAACTAGGCTGCATGAAATATGCAGACAACAAAATAGCACCAATGGCAGCTAAATGAGGCACAACATTACAGAGACATCGTCCAAGATGAACATAAAGGAAACATGAAAAATGCACAAAAAGGCAACTGCTTTCTCCTTCTACTGATTACTCGCAATGTACAAAATGGGTAGTTTTCCTAAAACTTTAACCTTTTTGGAAATCAAACCTCATGCGAGAATATGGCCCAATAACTCACAATGCCCCAGAAACTCGCAGAAGTAAGATTCATTCCAAGGTCCTAATAGCAAGGCTCTGGGAGAATAAACTCTCTCAGACAATCGATCGATATTAGTATCCCCATACAATCCTTTGAGTGTACATTAGTTAATTGGTAAGTTGATCCTGAAGAAGAACTGTGACCTCAATAGATCTGAAGCTTGACCTCCATAGAAGTTGGTGTCTTGCCAAAGGAAGCCCCAACAAAATGATGTTATGATCATATTTAGCAATTGTGCCTATGACAATAATGCGGTGAGGAAGGCATTGGTGGCAGCCACCCTTTTGGCGCTGTGGATCGAGTGTAATGATAGGATTTTCTGGGTTGAATGGTCTTCGCCGGCTGAACTATTTCCAAGATCAAATCCTTGGTAATTTTTTGGGCTACCAACCACAAGCGCTTCAAAGGCCCATCCCATGCCGCATTTTACCAAGACTGGGAAGCTATTCTCTTCTCAAGACAAATCTGTGACCCACACACCAGACCCAAGACAAATCAAGTTCAACTTTAATGGTTGTTCCCTGGGCAACCCCTGTCCTTCAGGGATTGGGGGTCTCTTTGGGGACCACAGTGGCTTCACTCTCGCTTTCCTTCTCCAAAAATATCAGCCACACAGACTCCACGACAGCAGAAGCATGTTAGCTCAACTAGAGGGCATCAAATTGTTCGACCCACAGTGGAGGTCCTCATTAGTCATCGAGGGAGACTCTAAGGACGTCATAAGTTGGGCCTCCGGCTCTACCCCCAACTCATGGTCTCTTGCTTACATTTTTTATGCACTTGCACACATCTGCAGGGATATGGACATCTTATGGGGGCATACTTGGCGGGAATCAAACCAGGAAGCCGACACCCTTGCTAAGGAAGCCACCACACCGCTACAGCACAAACCCAAATCCCCTCTTTTTGATGGACCATGACTTGGGGGGTCTTTTGTACCTACTTGGTTTCCACTCCCTGACCTAGTTTTTGTACAGGGTCGGCGTGCCCCTTTGGTGGGTCACATATTTTTTGTATACTGAGCTCCCGACCTGTGGGAAGCCTATTTGATCTCTTGTATCTCTTTCTTGAGTTTCTTCCTCTTTAATAGAAATAGCAAAGTTAACATCTTCAAGAAAATAATGCAGTGAGGAAAGGAATTAGGACTACCTCATTCTTATCCCAAAGAAATGTAGTCAAAGAATTGGGTCAAGAAAATGCATTTTCAAAAAATAGATGAGGGGAAAAATGCAGATTAAGTTGGCTCCAACATATAAAAACGGCACAACAAAATCCAGCATATTACATATAGAGGGATTGTTCTTATATTTCTGCAATTAAGAAGGGGAGAAAGAGGCTGGGATGGTCGTGGACAAGATTTGAACCCAGGAAGAAAAAAACACAGGTTGGGCGTCAATCCCTTGCTCCGGTAGGTGGTTTTGTGAAAATAGGGGATAGGGAAGTGGAGATGGTCTCACTAACCAAAATAGGCTCCTGGTTGGTATAGCCTACTACAAAATCTTAATAGCCTTTTCCTGAACCTCATGCTTTGGATCCCGCTACCACAACCACCATAGACAGGTAGTGAGAGACATGCGAACCCACAGATGCATGGAATTAGCCTAGCATTGTATTCAATAGTCATATTCTTTTGGTAAGAATAGAAAAAATAGACCAAGGATATAAATTGAAAAAGCTGCAAAATCAGTACCTCGCATCTAGATGGAAACTATAATCTCACAAGAAATAAACCACACGACCCGAAACTATCAAACCCAAGAATCAGCATTAATAAAATCGTCCCTTATTTTAAAAAGAAAATCTACTCAGCAATCAGCAAATTAGAAAATAAAATAAAAAATCCGCCCTTTTATTTGGAACCTGATATTCAATTCATCTAATGGTCCATATATTCTTTATCTTGTTTGGAGTAAGTTTATTTTATTTCTCATAAATGCCCCTTTTTATAGAACCCTTATTGTTTCATTATCCTACTCTGGATTAGGTTTATTTCCAATAGAAATCCTTTATATAGAAACATAGATTTTATTCCAGTAAAACCATAATCTTCATTTTTTGTCGAGTAAGTTTCAACTCTGTAAACATGTAAAATGAACCCTATTTCTCCTAATTTAAATCTACTTATCCATAAATCCAAAACCCATAAAAGAAATGAAATAGAATAAACACCATTCTTTTCAAAAGATATTTTAAAAAAAATTGGGTTTTTGCCATTCAATTCAAAATCAAACCTTTTTTCCCAATCTTTTGAAAGTAGCTTAGTGTTTTTTGTTTTTTTGTTTTTTTTTAATACCATTTTCCAATAAGACTCCACCATTTTGAACAAATATGAATTTATCAAACATATTGCTACTATGGTTATAATTGTTGCCATCGAAGTTCAGATGTTGTACTTCAAAAACTCAGGATAATTTTTGAAAAACATGGACTATCTTTGTGCAGTTTCTGGGGTGCATCACTGAATTTATGTGTCCAGTTAAAAACTATGGGATAACTCCAATGCCTAATCTGATCCACCCCAGAGATCTTATGACTTGGCTGACTCTCACATGATTTTATATTTATTTTAAGTTAAAAAAAGAAAACAGCTGAGTCTGCCAAAGGTGAGTCAACGAGGCTAGGGACCAAACTGAGTCCAAGCTTCTTTTAACTTTGTGGCAAGGAATACGAAAAGTACCAGTTTTTTTAGCCAAACAACTTCTAAAAATCAAGCAACAATGAGAGTTGATAGAAATATAGGCCAAAGGTATGTTGAAATAGGATCAAGCCACATGCTCATTATTTCAACACCATTTATATGGGAGACATAACCAAGCATCTAGAAAGCAAAGAACAAACTAGAGCATGAAGCCTTTCACTTGTATGCACCGTCGAGCTGTTTTCCTCCCTAACCTCTACAGAAAAATGCAAATCACACACTTGATCTTATGCAACATAAACGTCAGGCTCATTCATGCCCTAGTTACACCCAACACCTCTGGAGACAAAGCTAGGGGCTACTACTAAACCTCTCTACTGACTGACACTGAGGCAGATAAACCAATATAGAAGTAACATCAATTCCACAGCATGTTACCCAATCACCAATGTCTGGCACTCAACCCACCACTCTGTTGCACAGTCTCATGACCAACACATACTCTATGACCCCAAATCTAAATGAGTATTTTCCGCCCTAAGGTGAAAACCCCACAGGTGACAACCCTCAATTACAGTGAAAGTGAAGTTGAACTTTGTCCTTCCATTTTGTTAAAAAAAAAATCCCCTTCCATATCTAAAAAGAAACCATGTAAAGAAGCAGATTCTAGTTTTCTATTTGTTTCTGAAAACTATAAAAGGTTAAGTTCAAGAGTTCACATCCACACCATAACCAATGTTCAATGTGAGTAGCAACCACTGATCTTGGTGATAAAATCTCATTACAGTTGAGAGACTACAGAAATTTGGTGTAAATGGTTCATTAATAGTTCAAAAGGAACTCATGGAGTTTTTTGCCCTTTTTGACACGCATCACAACCCATGGACGAATTGTGACTGCTTGATAATGGCAGGAGTGGAAGAGTTAGATGCAGCATGGCCTCATAAAGCCCATTGTAGCTACCCGTGAAGTCACAATCATTGTCAAATAAGTTGACAAACTTGGTTCTCTCTTTGTTTAAAGAGATTGTATAGAAGATGTGCCCATTTCTGGCAAAAAAAAAAAAGTATGACTTATTGCAAGAAAGTTTCATTGAATGACTTGGCAGAACATGAGGAATAATGACTGAGCCTCAACCTAATTAGATCTTGTGGTGCCCAAAAGACATAGAAGCATCTGACCACCTCCCATCAAAAACTTTAAATGTTATCAGATCCACTCTGCTTACCCCGAAGACTTCAAACTCTAAACTGAAGCAAACAGGGCAAGAAACTCTTCAACAACCACTAATGTGAAGCATTTAATCACAGAAATGATTTTAAACAAAATTGTTACCACCTGCCAGCACCAGCTTTACATTTACAAGTAGGATTCTGACAAGTGATACAGAATAAGGATGCATGCCCACCATATGCCATTACGCACTTCACTAACAAACATAAAATTTCATTAAAATTTAACAAAAGACAAGAAACGTCAAGCAGTAATATCCTCATAAGATAAATTCTTGCAAACACTACATACATGATAAATTCTTGCAAACACTACATACATGCACTGTTACTGTAGTTTAAATGGTGGATAAGTACATCATGATAATTAATTCTTGGTTATTAACGGTTAGAAAATAATAATTTCATGTAAAGGACAAGTCAAGCAAAATCATAAATGACGCAGCAAAGTACAAGCAGTATCTCTAAAGTACCACAGCGTCCCTATCAATGGCAACTTATTTTCGATAGCTTATCTTATGAAGCCATCTCTAATAGAATACAACTATATCATCCAAAATTCTCCTGTACATGTTGCTATCCACTGGGCATGTTCTCTATCTCTAAAATTCAGAATCTCCAATTGAAAGAGCTTTGTAAAAGAGAGTGAACAAAAAAGGGCATGGTCGTGCGCAAAGCATACTAGAGAAAATTTACCTCCTGAAGAGGAATGAGTTGCTCAAGTCTGCTCTGATGTTTTCCGTGATTTCCATGGGACCTGGCATTTTTGGAACCTAAGAAATAGGCCATTATAGACACACCACTGAATCCCAAAACAAGAAAGGGAGAGAGAGAAGAAAAATAGCCAATAAAATATTTATTTGAAGACTGAATTCCTTAACCTAATTCCATGGAGCTCTTCATTTCAACCATCGATATTTGAGGATCCATTCAAGGCTTACACACCAATGTAAAATTAAAATTGTGAAGATAAACTAATACTGAAAGAAACTAACCAGTAGAACCGATAACCCTAGCTGGGGGCTTGTCTTCTCCATCTCTAAACACAAATCGTCTTGGTTCTTTCACATTCTCTCCAGTTTCCTACAACAAATTAATAAAGGCCGTTTCCAATCCTACAAGAATTATAACTCCACAAAATGCAAAAAAATGGGGAAAATAAACAAAAGAGAATAGAGGGGAGAGAAACTTAAAAATCAAAGAAAAACAGGGGGAGAAAAAACACCTGCTGGATAGCATTGAGTTTACCAGAATCGCTGCCACGTTTCTGCACCGAAAATTGAAAAACACAATTTATCAAATAAAAAAGAGTGATGGAAATTGCATAAAACCAAGGGAAAAAAATAACAGTGGCAAAAAGAATTGCACAAAACCCATTGCAAATAATAACAGTTGAAACATGAAAGTAGAAAAATGGACATTTGCAGAAAATCCAGAAAAACCATAACCCAAGTTTACCAGAGGATGATCAAGACTCACGACGCTGGATATGTCATCGAGAAATTCTTTGTGCTCTGCAGTAGATTCATCAAATGTCAGAGATAAGATCCACAAAACAAAACTGTGGGAGACATTTAAACTCCACAAAATAAATAACGATAGAGAGACAAAATAACCCTAAAATTGTAAGACACAGAAGCCCCACAATATATTGATAAATTACAGGAAATATAAATCCCACAGTAGGAAAATTTAAGAGAGAGAGAGAGAGAGAGTAAGAGTAAGAGAAACCATGAAATTGGTGATTACCTGAAGATGAGGTGAAGTATGTGAGCTTATCTGATAGGAAGAGGATTGGGGCAAAAACAGAGGTGAAGAGAAAGGAGATGAGGAGAAGTCTCTGCCATTTCCAAGGCTGGTTCAGTTTGAAAACGCTATTTTGCTGGGCCTTGGAGAGAGTAGGCATCTCTGGATCAGGGCTCCGAGAGTGAGGCCATTACTGGAAATTTTGGTGGGGTTCTCTTGTACTTTTAGAGAGGGAAAGATAAAAGAGTGGGCATCATTTGATGAGAGAGATAATGACTGCTACATAAGATTGCGTGCGGGAAACCTCGGATGTTCTTTTCTCCCTGGAATGAACAAAAGACATTAAAATGTGGGGACCAAATGCGGGGAAAAGCGACAATAATAAGGGAAATATGATAATTATCTCTGTTCCCTCTCTCTCTCTAAAACCCTCTCTCTCCTCTCTCTTTCTCTTTCTCTCTCTAGAAGTAAAATTCATTCTTCCCTCTCTCTCTCTCTCAATAACACCCCCACCAGTCCACTCTGTCTAGGGGCGACGACCGTGCCCTGTAATTAATGGTAGTTTCATTGCTTCCTCGAATGTTTTTTTTTACGGTAGAAAATCAGAATAAAAAAATGTAAAATGTAGAACGAAGCTATTAATCTTTAGTACAAGATGGTCAGAATTAATATTTCATTCACCAAACTTTAACTAAATTTTTTTGAAGTACGATACATTTGAACCATCAAAATTCAGATCAGATGGTTGTAAGCAATTATGTAGAATCCCTAAAAAAATCAAATCACATATTTTACATGCTAAAAAAAATAATGTCCCAAAAAGGAATAAGGAACTTCAAATTTTTGAAGGGCAAAATCTAGGTGATGAAAAAAATCAAAATCTACTATTTTTGTTCAAAAATAAGGGTGTGGTTTGTATAGAACTGAGGCTCTAACAAATCAAAATAAAGCGCACATTCAAATAGTTTCGAAAAAAATTACAATACTGAAATTCTTTGTGATAGCTTTCAAAAAAAATTCATCTTTAATTATAAAATCTAAAGCTTCAAAAATAGTATAGATCGAGCTGATTCATGAAAACTTGGAAACCTTGAAAATGGACGGTAACAAAATGTGTTATAAGATGCACTATTTTCAAAACTTTAAATCCATTTTTTTTCTCATGTCCATGCATCTTGATGTCAAGATGATCAATTTGAAAATATTTAGACATAAAAACAACCTCTTCCAGATAAATTTTTGGGGTGGGCTCTAATTTGATTATTTAGAGCCTTGGCTCTATATAAACTTTTTCCCAAAAATAATGATCTAGCTCTCTTAGTTGGATCCTAAAAGCTCAATAATAAAAAAATTTAAAAAAAAATCTCAAAATACTTATTTTCATTGTCATTATTATTATAGTCTTATTTCCATTATTTGGGGTTGACTATATGAATCAAGTACTCCTATTCTTCTCTATCAAAGGTCATAGGTGAGAAAGACCAAACGTCATTATATCTTTCTTACTACTTCTATCAATATCCTTTCTGCCTTTCTTTTTGCCTTTTTAGAGCTTTCCACTCAAACCAAATCATACTTCATAATCGATGTTTTAGTAGGTTAGATGTTCAAGATTCATAATAAAATGTTATAAAATTTTACATTCGCTTTCTATCTAACACAATCTACATCCTTTACCCAGGGTTCAGGACACGTTAAGGGAAAATTTAAATTCCTCACCCTAAACCAAAATAAAAGTTAAATATATATTTTATCATAAGGAATTAATATACAATATGCTCCCCTGGGAGCATAATTGCATTAAAAATCATAAAACAGCCTACTTGAACACTGTCACGCGACTTGCTTTTTAAGTTCCCGACCATGTAAAGTGCAAAACATGAACTCCAACTTAAATCTTTTACAATAAAGTAGAAGGGAGGCAATTCAACCTTGATGTTCTTTCACGTGGAAAGTGCTCTAAATCTCTCTCTCTCTCTCTCTCTCTCTCTCTCTCTCTAAGGCAAATCCTTCCTTTTCGCTCACATCACATGAGAAGATAGTGAGAGCAATGCTGGCTATCTACCTCGAGGGTATCAAAGTCAGTAAGGCACCCACATATTTTCCACATAGAAAAAGCCAAGTCTAAAAGTAAATGATATTTTATACTCCCACTCTCTCTCGAAGCGCCATGCCTAAAGTTGTTAATGATTTTACCTACCTCTCTCTCTCTCTCTCTCTCTTAAAATACGTATATTTAAATGTATTCTATAATAAGACCATGTATGGTACAAGTTCACAATCACCTCCACCTAGGTGCATGTCCTAAACCTAGAGAATATAGTTTTTTAAATTTGATCCACACTTCAACCACCATTTTTTAATCCGATTGTGATCTCTGCGTACATAAAAATATTTATCATGGTAGTAATACTCTTTAGGTTTAATTTTTAATTGTCTCTGTCCATCCCCAATATCAGTCATATACTATACAAAATAAAAAGAAAAAACAATAACGATGTAGACACCCCCTAATTTTTTGTCAAGGGAATTCGTAAAACCTATAAACATGAACCATACATGATATACTAGCTAGTGAACCCAGGAACACCACAACCTATAGCCTATAATCCATAATCCGTATGAAATCTTTAAGAGTCCTAAAATCATTAGACTAACCCAACCCCAATCTATCCTAATTTATCTAGACTTATCTGGTTTATCCTAATCCATCCAGATCAATCATAGTCAATCCAAATCCACCCAAACATACCCTAAAAGTACCAAATTGTATCTCGATATGTCTCATCATACCTATAACAACATGATACAGTTCAGAAATGGAAAACATCATAAATCACGACCCCCTAAATGACTCCAAATAAATCAGACAGGGCATCTGAAACGATTTACACCTAAGAATGGTTCAACGACATTGGGCGTGTTGATGGCCATAACAGGCTCAACGACACGCCATGTGTCGCTAGCCATAATGGGCTAAGCAACATCCCGACATAACTGGCCATAACGGGCTCAACGACAAGCCTCACGTTGCTGCAGCATTTGGACTCCAATATTGTATGCAACATGACTTGGGTTTATAAATAGGGCAAGCTTTCTATGCTTTCCCTGCAACATAAAACTTATATACTTCCCCTTATCCAACCCTTCATTCTAAATGGAGGGCTAAGATTGCCTCAATCACAATGTGACGTCTCTACACTATTTTATTTTTCATTTTTTTCTATAAACTATTTTGACACCAAATTTTGTATGTCCAGTCCTCTATTAAACCCGCACTATAAAAAAAATATTTCTAATAAAATAAAATGATCAAAATACTTCTGAAAATTTTAAAAGGTATTTTGGGTATTATATTTTATCAAAATTTTATTTTTAATATTTTTTATAGGTGCCCCCCATTGATAAGATGATACGTACCAAATTTCATACTCATACAATTTGTATAAAAAAAACTAAAGATAAAATACTTTGAGACATTGCATCTAAGATCAAACGGTAAGTCACTCTTGATCAAAATTGGACGGCTGGATGGTAGGGGAAGCATAAGTCTTCTATGCTATAGGGGAAACATAGAAACCTTTCCCTTATAAATAACCCCTTCAGATTTGCATGCTGGGTGGACCTCTAGATATTCATAAAACCATGAAGAAACCCAAGGGCCCTAGAACTCTGGTCCCCCTATCCTCTCATGCCTTAAAATCCTAAAAACCCGATGCCCCTGACCTTTAATTGCCAAAAATTAGAGCAGTTATGAGAACCCTAAAACCAAAAGCCTTAGAAAGAACATTGCCTAAAGCAATGAAAACCCTAGGAAGAACATTGCCTTAAGCAGTCAAAACCCTAGGAAGAACATTCCTTAGGTCAAACTCTCTTTTGAAGCTTCTCGGTTGCAAGCAAATCTCCATGGAGTTGGGGACTAAAATGCTTTAACTGCTAGTCTAATCCAGGCTACCAAGTCTGGGTGTCGAACCTAACAGATTGGCTTCCGATAAAATTGTTATATCATTTATTTCTCTTAATTTTCTAGTATGTATATATTTTTGAAATTTTTAATTTTTGTCTATTTTGAATTTTCATGGTTTCTTCTTTTTTTTTGGTTTTTACCCGATCTGAGGCCAACCTTGCGCACAATTTGGGAGAAGTTATGCTTCTACAGGCTCATCTTCTCATACATCGTAATTCGACACTCTCTTCTACCGAATTTTAATTATTTTAGTTTAAAACATAAATTTTAGAGGATTTCATCTAAGATCTTCCCAGATTTGGCTTCAAGTAAACCTACACTCTAAACCAGTGTTTAAAAAAACGCCGAGTCGACCCGGACTCGCCCGGTTCGACTCGGGAATCGCCATGGACGGGTCGAATCGGTGAAAAAAACGGGAATCGTTCGGTTCTAGAGAGAACCGGACGATTCTGCACAGTGACTCGCCGATTCACTGTACGGAATCGGCGAGTCCCGTACGAAAGTTTAACTTTTTTTTTTTTTTTTTTTTTTTTTTATTTTTTTTTTTTTTTTTTTTTTTATTTT